TCTATAATTTTGTATAAGTCGTAAATCTGAATCTTCTTTCAGAATCAACGATATCAGTGTCTCCTTCCATGAATCCGGCATTCTTGCTGCTAGTAAAACCTCATTATATACTTCCACCATGAGAGGTCCTATTTGTTCTCCTATTTTCTTATAAAGTTCCCCTGGTATTCCGTTGGGTCCTGGGGTTTTATTGTTCTTTTGGTTTTCTATTGCTGCTTTTAACTCGGGCCATATCTCTAATTAACATTTCCTTCATCTCCCCCTTGATTATTTTATCTTTAGTAATACCCAAATAGTTTCTTATCATGTTCTCATTTACCTCCTTCTTTTTATAAAGATCTTCAAAAAATTTGCATGCAATTTCTTTTTTCTGTTCTATCCCTTGTTGGGCATCCCCGTTCTCATCTATTAATTGGTAGATCAATCTTTTTTGTTTTTCTTTTTAAGTTTATAGGCCAACCACCTTCCTGGCTTATTGGCCTGTTCAAAAAAATCTGTCTGGCTGTATTCAACTTTGAAACCATTCCTTCTTGTTTGATTAAATTTAATTTATGTTTAGTTATTATCATCTGTTTTTTCAATTTGCAATCTTTTGGGGTGGCAAAACGCCCAACTTTTGATGGAACCATTTGGGCTGTTTCCAAGTAGTTTGAAAGATTAAGATGCAGAGATGTGTCATGGGTTCTTTTGGGTTGAACACCAGTAATCTGATTGACCCAAACTTAGTAGACATAAAACAAAGGAAACAGGAAAATGGGGTTTTAGTATCTCCTTTCAATCATTTCACATGCTAGCAAGGTCATGCTCAAAATCTGACAAGATAGGCTTCAGCAATATCTGAACCAAGAACCATGAGAAGTACAAGGTGGGTTTGAAAGAGGTAGGGGAACTAGAGATCAAATTGCCGACATTGGCTGGATTATGGAGAAAGCAAGGAAGAAAAACATCTACTTTTGCTACAGTAAAACCTTTGATTGAGTGGATAACAACAAACTGTAGCAAATTCTTAAAGAGATGGGAGTAATCTTGGTCACCTTTCCTGTCTTCTGAGAAACATGTACGTACATATGTATTTATGTATGTATGTATGCATGCATGCATGCATGTGGGTCAAGAAGCAACAATTAGAACTAGACATGGAACAACTGATTGGTTCAAAATAGGAAAAAGTATGACAAGGCTGTAAATTGTCACCTTGCTTATTTAACATATGCAGAGTATATCGTGAAATGCTGGGCTGGACAAGTCAGAATTAAGATTGTCAGGATGAATCTTGACAACCTTGGATATGCAGACAATACCTCTCTAATGGCAGAAAGTAAAGAGGAACTGAAGTTCTTCCTGATGAGGGTGAAAGAGGAGAGGGCAAAAGTTGGCTTGAAACTCAACGTTATATAAATTAATATCATGGTATCTGGTCCCATCACTTCCTGGCAAATAGAAGAGGAAGAAATGGAAGCAGTGACAGATTTAATTTTCTTGGGCTCCAAGATCACCGCAGATGGTGACTGCAGCCATTGAATTAAAAGACACTTGCTCCTGGGGAGGAAAGCTATGGCAAACCTAGACAGCATATTAAAAAGTAGAGATATCATCTTGCCAACAAAATTCTATATACTGTAGTTAAAGCTATAGTTTTCCCAACAGTAATGTATGGCTATGAGAGTTGGACCATAAGGAAGGTAGTGTGCCAAATAATTGATGCTTTTGATTGTAGTGTTGGAGAAGACTTGAGAGTCCCTTGGACTGCAAGGAGATCAAATCAGTCAATCCAAAAAGAAATCAATCCTGAATGTTCTTTGGAAGGAGAAATAGTGAAGCTGAAGCTCAAATATTTTGACAACCAAATGAGAAGAGAAAAAGACCCTGATGTTGGGAAAAACTGAAGGCAAAGAAGAAGGTGATAGCAGAGGATGATTTGGTTAGATACTGGTAGTATCATCAACACAATAAACATGAATTTGGGCAAACTCTGGAAGACAGGAGTGTGTGCTGTGGCCCATGGGATCATGAAAACTCAAACATGACTTAACAGCTGAACAACAATGTCTCCTATTAGTGGCTGGGAGGGGGAGACTTTTATTTTACACAAGCAAAGTTTAGCAAATGAAACAAAAGACCAAAGGAATTATAAATTATAAATGTCTTCAACTAGTTCATAAATAATACAATTATCTTCTGTTTTAACTATTTTCTACACTCTCTTTAACTATACATTGTCTTAATTTCTCTATATGTCACTTAATTTCACCATAGCATTCTATTCTATATCTCTAACAGATTTGTTTATAGTTATTTTTGATATTTCTATTGGCACTCTCTCTAGAGATACACTACCTTTTTCTACAAAGTTCAATCTGTCTTTCATGTTTTTCTGGTTTCTTTCTTTTTTTAAAATTTCTTTTCTGTCAAAGCTTTGACTTTTTTCTTCATCTTTTTTTCCTTTTTGCTCCTGACTAGGCGTCTTGATTCTTTTCCTCTTCTCACAAATCTTTGTTCCATCTGAGGGAAACAGCTTGAAGAACTGTTCTTTCAAGTCAGGTCTGAGGGAAAGAAAAAACATGTCTCTCTTTCCTTAGTGTTCTCAGTTGCTTCTCCTTTCCAGTTGCACCTTTCTCATTAGGGCAGTCGATTTTTAATTTCCCTCTTAATTTGATTCCTGGGCTTTGCTCTTGTTTTTTTAATCCAACCTCTTTCTCATGAGGCCTATGGCTGCAGAGGTCTCAGGCAGCCATTGTGTACATAAGTACAATATGCATGTATTATATATGCATGTTTTTATTTATTTCCCACTTTTATTAGTTTTATAAATAATTCAAGGCAGTAAACATACCCAATATACCTTCCTCCTTCTCTCCTGACTAATGCTCCTGTTTGATTGGTGGATGCTATTTGACTTCTACCCAGTTATGTAGCTTTACAGACTTAGGGAATTTTTACACTAATACAAGAAATTAGTGATGGTGGCAGCAGAGAAAGAATAATAATAATTAAAAAACAACAACAGGCCATTTTACTTTCAACCTCAAAAATTGGGGACATCTAATCAAACAATTTAGTCTGGAGTGAAAAATTGCTTTCTCAATTGCTATCTTCAGCCATTGCTGTGTTAGTGTGACAAGTTTGAGAATGGTGTTTCTGATAAATCATGGGTGGACTATTGTTGGTGTTTGAAATAAGATCCAGAACTTGTGCTACCAGGTGTAGCACAAGTTCATCTTGCCAAGGCACTTAGCACTACAAAGAGGTGTGATCTACCTTGCTTAGCAAATCAACATAAAATGGTTTAGGAGGAGCCACTAGGAAATAAGGCAATTGGTAAAATGAAGGGCTTTTTTTTTTTCATCTCTCAACTCCACCCTAGATACTGTGATTGGAGTGACAGTCTTTAAAATTTCAATGAGTAATTCATTTGAAAAGATAAAATGATCAACATAAACATCAAAAATTACCTATGCTATATATTGAAAACAACAAATATAAATTCCAGTAAAGTATGCAAACTATCTTTCCAGCATAATGATGTTCAAAACTGTCTGGTCCTTAGAATCACTCTGATTTAAGAGGAAATGTTCTTACTTTTTTTTTACATATTTGGACGAGGCTACTGGCACACTGGAGAAAGAGACTGGGACCAGCTAGAATTATGTAAAGATACGGATTTGTAATGGATGAATTCAAATGTGACGGTTTCACTTGCTGTTTCCAAACTTTCAAAAATTTGTTCTGCTTTAGCTTCATTGGATAAAAATACTACCTCACATCTATGACTGTATCTGGTTTTCTCTTATGGCTGCTTAGAATCCACAATTGATCTTACATGTGATATATGGTGTGTGTGTGTGTGTATGAGTCTGGTTTACTTCTATCAGCCTAACTGTGAAGGTTTTAGTTGGATTCCATTTATTGCTTATTCCAGTCAAATAGCTGTATCCTCCTTATCTTGAGTAATCCAGATTTTATCCAAGCAATTGAATGAATTGATTGCACCTGTCTTATCTTCAATCTTCTGAATAGGTTTATTATTTTTTTATAAAAACAGTGAAGGCAAATTACAAAACAGAGGGAATCCTTTGTTATCTCCCTCATGGGCAAAATCATTCTACTTAGTTCAATATATAAAATCATTCCCAGTTTTATCTAAAGAATGACACAAGATATTTTTGAAGGAAATACACTGAACAGTGAAGAAATACACTGCAGACTAGCACCCAATACAGCACCCATGAAGGCCCTGGAAAAGATATTCAAAAGCCATGACGTATTTAGATCAGAACTGTGAAAGTCATCACTGTAACATGGTATGGAAGAAAAAGTCAGAATATAGGACTGACATTTTTGAACTTGGTACCGGAGAAGACTCAACTCTCTGGAAAAGGCTGTCATGATGCCAAAGATGAAAGAAAGAGGAGAAGATGACTGCAGCAACATGGATAAACTGAAAACCCAGATTAGGAATAAGAGCATATTGGGAGAAATCTATTTTATGTGGTTACTAGGAGTTAAAAAAAAAAAAAAACTCGATGGCACATCATCAGTCAACCAAAAAAGTTTAGTCTTGCGTGGATAAGTACTAGAGAACTAAATTACTACTGTTTAGTAATATGGAAGGACTGTCTGCTCATTATGCTTTTTTTTTTCCTGTAAAGAAAACAACAACAAAAAAGCTACTTCCCAATGATTTGCTAATTTCTAAATCGGTTTTACTTTTAAAAAAAACAACTTACTTTCCAATTTTTACTTTGATTCTTGCTTTAACCCAAAGCAAACAACAACAAGAACCTGCCAAGTGGCTGCAGTGGATTCCTCAGTGGGAAGGCGGAGTAAAAAGAAGCCGAGGTACTACATTTCCTTAAACCGTAGCTGTTGCCAAGGCAATCAGGCAAAAAAAGGACAGGGTGGGGCACGATCCTTGAGTCCGGCGAGCAGCGTTTCCACTCTCTCTCTCTCTCTCTCTCTCTCTGTGTTTCCCGCCCCTCTTTAGCAGGTGGCCAGTTTAAAATCTCAGCGCACCTTCGTTGACTCTCCAGTCGAGCGCGCTGCCCCGGAGTATCCGCTCGCCTCTCTCGGCCTCCAAAGCCCAGCGGTACCACGATGCCGGCTTCGCCCCAGGGCAAGTGGGGCTCTACCGCCGCGCGTTTCCTCCTGGCGGTATGGAAGGGGAAGGGATGGGGGGGAGGCGGGGAGGGAATCGGGGAGCAGATCCTGATGCTGGAGCCCCATGATTGACAGTTTGCCCGCCGCAGCTGCTTGTGTTCTGGACAGCACCAGCCAGGGGGTTCCCTTGTGGAACACGCGAGACTCTGGACTGAGAACCCCCTTTTCCAGGCAAAGTTTCGGCTAGCTGCAGGTGGCTTCCCTTCTTTCACTTTGTGCGCTGTTGACCTTGGCAACCCGGGATGAGAGTCTGTAGAGATTCTTAGTCATCCAGGTCGTGGTTGTTCTAAAGATGCTTTTTCAGGAGGCAACTGGACTTCCTTGTTTTTTTCTTTTCTTTTGAAGACTTTTAGCTATACAATTTGGGATGAATACCCTTTGAAAGGTGTGGGAATAGGAATGGATTTCCAGAGGAAAAATTGCAGACTGCAGGAACCAGGAGCACCACTCATGTGACCCTGAGGACACAAATAAACCTCCAAGTGTTTCAACAACCCTCTAAAAGAATGCAAATGACCAGCTGTCTGCAAGGAATATAAATCCTTCCATTCCCCACCATCCTGTCAGAGCTGAAGAAACTTCTTGGAGGAGAAGAGAAACTTCCTCAAAAGAAAAAAAAAAAACACAAGAAAATCCAGTTGCCTCCTGAAAAAACGCCTTTGGGACTGGAATATGCCTTGTGTGTGTGTGTGTGTGTGTTGTCCAATCGCTTCTTAAAAACTTCCAGTTTTTACAACTTCTGGAGGCAAGTTGTTCCACTGATTAATTGTTTAACTGTCAGGAAATTCCTCCTTAGTTCTAAATTGGTTTTCTCCTTGATTAGTTTCCACCCATTGCTTCTTGTCCTGCCCTCAGGTGCTTTGCAGAATAGCTTGACTCCCTCTTCTTTGTGGCAGCCCCTGAGATATTGGAACACTGCTATCATGTCACCCCTAGTCCTTCTTTTCATCAAACTAGACGTACCCAATTCCAGCAACTGTTCTTTATATGTTTTAGCCTCCAGTTCCCTAATCAACTTTGTTGCTCTTCTCGGCACTCTTTCTAGAATCTCAACATCTTTATTACATCATAAAATATCAAAGGGTAAACTTAATGATTAAACCAAACAAAAGAGAAAGAAATTAAGATAATTATTAATTGATAAACAAGTAAAACGAACTAAAGATAATGTATTTTATATTCTCATTGTTATGTTGGTCACCTCAAGTTAATATACAAAACCAATGTTTCTGTCTCCTGTTTTCCCCATCAGAAACATCCTATGAGGTGAGCTGGGTTGAGTACATCCCATTCATATTTTCTTCTAAGACTGATTAGATGGCTGAATCTTCTGCTGCAAAAAAATCTAATTGGAGAGCATGATTGATGACTTGGCTATGGACGTTTTTTTCGTTGGATGATACACCCAGAGGGGTGGGGGGAAAACCAGGATAAAGGGTGACAGTGAATTATGTATCTCAGAGTTGGCTATGCCCAGATTAGCACCTGATGTAGAATGTTACCTTCAAATAAATCCTCTTTGGTTTTGGGAGTGTGGCTCAAGGGTCATGATTTAATTGGAGTAACTGCCGGAACCCTGACACTCTGCCCTAATGATACCTTCCAACAACCAGTTCACCAAACTGCTTAGAAAGTTAACAACCGGTTCACCTGAAATGGTGTCAACTGGCTGAATCCCACCGCTGAATCCCTCCCTACCTGGAGAAGAAGGACGGACTTCAAAAGGAACAAGCTGTTTCCAAAGACCCAAAGAAAAATGACTGGTTCCCTCCCCCTCCCCTGGCATTTCATCGCCCCCCAGAGAATTTTGAGGGTCCCCCAAGAGGGTATACAGAGCTGCTTGTGACTTGGGGGGGGGATGGGGATTATCTGCAGATTAAAAGTAGGGTTAATTCCCACGTGGAAATGAGAAATCAGAGGGGATGGGGCAGTGGTGGGATTCAAATAATTTAACAATCGGTTCTTCTCCCTAATGATTTCTTCCAACAACCAGTTCGCTAAACTGCTCAGAAAGTTAACAACCGGTTCTCCCGAAGTGGTGCGAACTGGATGAATCCCACCACTGGTTGCAGTGTCCTGGGGTCATGTGTTGAGCTTTTGCGAACTTTTGACAAGCAAAGTCCATGGGGAAGCCAGATTCATTTAACCACCATGCTACTAACCTAACAATTACAATGATTCATTTAAAAACAGTGACAAGAAAAGGCATAAAATAAGGCAAAACCCAACTAAAAATGTTTCACTTAGCAATATAAATGTTGGGCTCAACTGTGAACATAAGTCGAGGATTACCTGTGAAGATGAATACAATGCTGAACTTCTCACTTCCTGTTTCATAGCAAGGCATATATTTAAGATAGCACAGTGATTAGAATGAAGTATTGTAGGCTAATTCTGCGGACTGCCAGCAGTTCAGCAGTTCAGTTCCCACTGGCTCAAGGTTGATTCAGTCCTCCATCCTTCCGACGTCCATAAAATAAGGACCCAGATTGTTGGAGGCAATATGGTGACTCCGTAAACTGCTTAGAGAGGGCTGTAAAGCACTGTGAAGCGGCATAAATCTAAGACCTGATGCTATTGCTATATATTTGATTTTCATAGTGGGACCCATGTATCAATAATTTGACTTACAAAATAACAGAAAACAGAGTTGGAAAGGACATTGGAGGTCTTCTAGTCCAACCCCCTGCTCAAGCAGCAAAACCTGTTCCATTTCAGACAAATGGTTGTCTAATCTTTTCTTAAAACCCTCCAGTGTTGGAAGACCCACAACTTCTTGGAGGCAAGTCATTCCATTGGTTGATTGTTCTCACTGTTAGGGAATTTCTCCTTAGTTCTAGGTTGCTTCTCTCCTTGATTAGTTTCCATCCATTGTTTCTTGCTTTGCCTTCTGGTGTTTTGGATAATAGCTTGACTTCCTCTTCTTGGTGGCAGCTCCGCAAACATTGGAACACTGTTATCAGATCATCCTTCTTATCATTAAATTAGATGGCAACTCTAAAAAGACCATCAAATACACTGCTCAAAAAAATAAAGGGAACACTTAAACAACACAATGTAACTCCAAGTCAATCACACTTCTGTGAAATCAAACTGTCCACTTAGGTAGCAACACTGATTGACAATCAATTTCACATGCTGTTGTGCAAATGGAATAGACAACAGGTGGAAAGCATAGGCAGTTAGCAAGACATCCCCAATAAAGGAGTGGTTCTGCAGGTGGTGACCACAGACCACTTCTCAGTTCCTATGCTTTCTGGCTGATGGTTTGGTCACTTTTGAATGCTGGCAGTGATAGCATGAGATGGAGTCTACAACCCACACAAGTGGCTCAGGTAGTGCAGCTCATCCAGAATGGCACATCAATGCGAGCTGTGGCAAGAAGGTTTGCTATGTCTGTCAGCATAGTGTCCAGAGCATGGAGGCACTACCAGGAGACAGGATAGTACATCAGGAGATGTGGAGGAGGCCGTAGGAGGGCAACAACCCAGCATCAGGACTGCTACCTCCGCCTTTGTGCAAGGAGGGACAGGAGGAGCACTGCCAGAGCCCTGAAAAATGATCTCCAGCGGGCCACAAATGTGCATGTGACTGCTCAAACAGTCAGAAACAGACTCCATGAGGGTGGTATGAGGGCCCGACGTCCAGAGGTGGGGGTTGTGCTTACAGCCCAACACTCTGCAGGATGTTTGGCATTTGCCAGAGAACACCAAGATTGGCAAATTTGCCACTGGCGCCCTGTGCTCTTCACAGATGAAAGTAGGTTTACACTGAGCACATGTGAAAGACGTGACAGGGTCTGGAAATGCTGTGGAGAACGTTCTGCTGCCTGCAACATCCTCCAGCATGACCGGTTTGGCAGTGGGTCAGTAATGGTGTGGGGTGGCATTTCTTTAGCGGGCCTCACAGCCCTCCATGTGCTCACCAGAGGTAGCCTGACTGCCATTAGGTACTGAGATGAGATCCTCAGACCCCTTGTGAGACCATATGCTGGTGCGGTTGGCTCTGGGTTCCTCCTAATGCAAGACAATGCTAGACCTCATGTGGCTGGAGTGTGTCAGCAGTTCCTGCAAGACAAAGGCATTGATGCTATGGACTGGCCCACCCATTCCCCAGACCTGAATCCAATTGAGCACATCTGGGACATCATGTCTCGCTCCATCCACCAATGCCATGTTGCACCACAGACTGTCCAGGAGTTGGGGGGTGCTTTAGTCCAGGTGTGGGAGGAGATCCCTCAGGAGACCATCTGCCACCTCATCAGGAGCATGCCCAGGCATTACAGGGAGGTCATACAGGCATGTGGAGGCCACACACACTACTGAGCCTCATTTTGACTTGTTTTAAGGACATTACATCAAAGTTGGATCAGCCTGTAGTGTTTTTTCCACTTTAATTTTGAGTGTAACTCCAAATCCAGATCTCCATGGGTTGCTAAATTTGATTTCCATTGATAATTTTTTTTGTGATGTTGTTGTCAGCACATTCAATTATGTAATGAACAAAGTATTTAATGAGAATATTTCATTCATTCAGATCTAGGATGTCTTATTTTTGTGTTCCCTTTATTTTTTTGAGCAGTGTATTTTATGAGTTGACTCATGATTTAACTGGGGTAACTATCCAAGGGCAGTAGCTCTTTTGAATTCTGCTGTATAGTGCAGTGTTGGTGTGGTGTCGGGGGTTTCTGGTTCAATGTGTGGAGGGTGAAGGATGTGTGTTTGTGTTTATTTTCATGGCCGTGGTCATGATGTGCACTGAAGATGGTGTTTGATTTCGTTGTACAAGGTGCAACAAGTAAAGTAAAGTAAACTAAACTGCCAGAATCCTGACACTAGACATGCTTCTTTAGAACTGTATACATTTCTAAGTCAGTTTTCCTCAAAAGTTTCCACTATAAACTCCTGACATAAACAATGTCTTGGCTTGTCCTTGGATTAATACTTGGATAATGTTTCAACCACATGTCCCACTTCTGAGTCACCAAGAATAGG